CTCAGGGGAATTCCGCGCCAGGCCTCATCTTGACAGAAGAAGAGGAATGGCTCATCGAACTAAAAATGAATAGTCACGTGGGTACAAGTGGTCATGACGTGATCACATTTATAACGTGCAAAAAAGGACTAAAGTCCAGACCAGCGATGGACATACTTGGTGATTTCAAAAGGCCAATTTCACAAAGCTGAACACGGTTATGAGCTAAATCAGCTTTTTACCAGAAAAATGTGACTAATAATTGGAAATTGTCTAAGAACACTTCCCTGGATTCCCAACAAGTCACAATCTCCCTAGCTGAGGAGGAAGGCCATAAGAACATCAACCCCTAAATTAGAGGGGAAGCTATACAAATAGAAAAATAATATATAACAAAAGGAAGAAGGGGGCAGCTGAAAGTATTTAATACAAATCAGAAGTTAGGAATTGTAGAAAACTGATAAAGGAAGGCAAGAGACACGAGGGGTAACTTTGAGTAACAGAGTTATGCCAAGAAGTTTATGCCAGGCACCCTGACAAGGGCTCTCAGCCGTGCCCAGATGGAAAAGGTAGAAACCTCAACAATCATGCAAAAATAGCAGATGTGTTCGGTAAATATTTCTGCTGTCTATTTCGGGGGAAATGATGTCATCACATAGTCTGATAAGACTGTTTCCATTCCGCTAGTATCCCAGGATGGTGTTAAAGCAGGGGCGGGCGATAATTTTTGGCTGGGGGCCACTCCAGATGGGGCGTGGCCTAATCTGGAAGGGGTGGGCCCAGAATGCTCCTGGGCTTCCCCATCCCCAGACCATAATTGGTCTGGGGGTAGGGGAGCCCCTTTGCCCCCCCTTCCCTCTAGACACCCATGCCCCTGGCAGGGCGGGAAGAGGCTTCATACACTCCCCCACCCCCGGGCCCTGATTGGCCTGGGGGCAGGGAAGAGTGCACAAAGCCTCCTCCTGCCCTACCCCCACCCTGCGAGGAGCATGTGGCACTTCAAAGTAGAGGTGATGTCACGCGCTGCCCCACCCCCAAGCCTTGAGTGGCCTGGGGGCAAGGGAGCTGTGCGAAGCTTCCCTTGCCCTGCTCCCGCCCTGCGCAAGCGTAAGGCACTTTGAAGTGCCATGAGCTCCTCGCAGGGAGCGGGGAAGGGGAGAAGGAAACTTTGCGTGCTCCTCCACCCCCAGGCCAATCAGGGCTTGGAGATGGGAGGAAGCACATGATGTCTCCTTCCGCCCTGTGCTTGGCAGGCCGGATCTGGCCCGCGGAGTCCCTTTTGCCCACCCCTGTGTTAAATGGACCCTCCTGAAATTAGATTTTTTTAAATCAGCATGTCTGGATTATTTGCATCCAAGAGTTTTAAAAGAGCTGACTGAGGATCTCATTGGACTGATCATGTTGATTTTCACTATGTCCTGGCACACTGGAGAGGTTCCACAAGATTGGAAGAAAACGAATGTTCTCATTTTTAAAAAGGATCAATGGGATGACCTGGGTAATTATTGGTTTGGCAGTCAGACGTTGATCCCAGGCAAGATCCTAATCAAAGAAAGTTCTTCTTCACACAGCGTGTAGTCAACCTGAGGAACTCCTTGCCAGAGGAGGCTGTGAAGGCTAGGACTATAATAGAGTTTAAGGAGAAGCTAGATAATTTCATGGAGGTTAGGTCCATAAAAGGCTATTAGCCAGGGGATAAAATGGTGTCCTTGGCCTCTGTTTGTCAGAGGCTGGAGAAGGATGGCAGGAGACAAATCGCTTGATCATTGTCTTCGGTCCACCCTCTCTGGGGCACCTGGTGCTGGCCACTGTCGGCCGACAGGATACTGGGCTAGAGGGACCTTTGGTCTGACCCAGTACGGCCGCTCTTATGTTCTTATGTTCTAAGATCATGGAGTGGCTGATACGGGACTCAAGAGAATTAAAAGAGGGTGTATAATTAATGTCGCTATTGCAAGTAGATGCTGTCAATTTACCTTGATTTTTTTGGATGAGATTACAAATCGGTGAAAGCTCGAACGATGTAAAATTAACATGACACCCAGTAAATGGGATTAAAAACTGTCTTAACTCAGAGCTCTCAAAATGTAATTCTAAGTCATCATTGATGGGGCGTGTTTCTGGTTGGGTCCCACAGGCTCTTGGCTCGACGCTGTTCAACGTTTTTAGCGGGGCCCTGTAAGAAAACATAAGAGCACCATTGATAAAGTCACGAGATGACACACACACAGTGGTAAATAATGAGGAGGACCGGACCCTGATACAGAGTAATCTGGATTATGTGTTGAGCTGGTCACCAGCAAACCAGGCATGTTTTAATACAGCCAGTGTAAAGTTATGCATCTAGGAAGCAAACAAGCACTGGTCGGAGGGCTTTTCAGAGGTGCCTGCCTTGTTCCACCACTGCTCGCTTTGGTGTCAATGGGAGCAGCTGGAGAGTGCTCTGAAAACTCCCACATGCGCCGTCTGCCGAGTCCGGGGTGAAATCCTGGCTCCGTTACATACCATTGAGTTCACTGGGGCCAGGATTTCAGCGCAAGGGTTCTGCGAAGATGGGTAGATTTCGCTATCCCCATTTTACAGATGGAGAAACTGAGACACAGAGTGGTGAAGGCCATAGTCAGACAACAGGTCGGTGGGAGAACTGGGAATGGAGATCCGCTCTCCTAACTCGCTGTCCTGCCCTGGATCAGTACGACCCACTCTCCGCTGAAGTCTGAGTCTTTCATGGCTGTCTTCTCACTTGTGACTCTCTCTTGTGGTTGTGCTAGGTGCTGCGCAGGCCAATCAGGAGAAGCTCTGTTTGCCCCGTGGCCGCTGGGGCTGGATTGGTGATTGATTTGGTGCCAGTTTAATGCTGTTCTCTGTGTTAGCCACATCCCGTCTTCCTGCAGCTGGGCCTTCTTTGTGCAGGGCTTCCCTTCCCCCCCACAAGATGAGTATTTCAAGGGAGACCTGCCTTGGCAACCACTCTCGAAATCTGGTCTGGAGGAGTGACCGGCTTTGCTGCTTGAAGGACAGGTCATGGCACCGCGCCAGGGCTCTGCTACCGCGGCGCTTGCCAAGAGTTTTCAGATGAAGAGCAAGGCCCATGGAAGACAAGAAGAATGACTCTCCTTACTGCGGCTGATTTATCTCGCGGTGATAAGGAACACCCCGCAGATAGAACATCAATCTGCCGGGCCAGAGAGGGCTGCCTTTAAGGGCAAACTCCTTCATTTAAAGCTAACGAGTCCCTGGTGCGTAGCCCCGTTTTGAGCTCTAGGTGGGGCACTTGCCAGCCCAGGGCCTGGTCACGGGGATCTAGATGTGCCTTTGCCAGCTGGAGTTTCTGCACTCCCCGCTCCTACCCTCTTGGAGTGGGGAGGGAGGACCAGGGGGGTGGGTTTGGGCCTCACACGACCTCCTTGGCAAGAGGTTTTGGATGGGCCTCCCGCTTTACCTTGGATCTCCCGAGCATGGGGAGTAACAGGGACGTGCTTCAGTGGGGATCGAACCGAACGGCCGTGCGCGGCACTCGTTGGCCTCGCCACCCGAGCATGCCTTTCGGGGAAGCGGGAGGAGCGCAGCCGGCCACGGCTCAGCTGTGCTGGTCTGGCACAGAGGGAGGGATCACACTGAGAAGGGAAAGGCCCTGTCGTCTGGTTCTCCTCCACCCATGCAAAAGCCGGGGACTGGCCGCAGCCATCTGTGCTCGCCTCGTGGCACACGAGGATTGGGCCACACGAAATTGGATGAGGTTCGGCAAGGCCGAGTGCAGGGTCCTGCCCTGGGGACGGAAGAATCCTAAACACTGCGGCAGCCTGGGGACCGACTGGCTAAGCGGCAGCTCTGCAGAAAAGGCCCCGGGGATTCCAGTGGGGGAGGAGCTGGATGTGAGCCAACAGGGCGCCCGTGTAGCCCAGAAGGCGAATGGCACGTTGGGCGGCATTAGGAGGAGCCTGGCCAGCAGATCCAGAGAAGTGATGGATCCACTTTATTCGGCTCTGGTGAGGCCACATCTGGAGTGTTGTGTCCAGTTCTGGGCCCCCCATTACAGGAAGGATGTGGACGCATTGGGGAGGGACCCCCGGAGGGTGACCAAAATGATGCGGGGGCTGGAGCACATGACCTAGGAGGAGAGGCTGAGGGATTTGGGCTTGCTTAGTCTGCAGAAGAGCAGAGTGAGGGGGTTTGAGAGCAGCCTTCCACTTCCTGAAGGGAGGTTCCAAAGAGGCTGGCGAGAGGCTGGTCTCAGGGGGGACAGGGGGCAGAAGAGGAGCAATGGGCTCAAGTTGTGGTGGGGGAGGTCTGAGTTGGACAGTAGAAAAACTATTTCCCTGGGCGGGTGGGGAAGCGCTGGGCTGGGATCCCCGGGGAGGGGGTGGATTCTCCATCCCTAGAGGGGTTTAAGTCTCAGCTTGACAGAGCCCTGGCTGGGATGATGGAGTTGGGGTTGGTCCTGCCTCCTGAGGTCCCTGCCAGCTCTAGGATTCTAGGATTCCAAGGCCGCTCCTCTCAGCGGAAGTTCTCTGCAGTGTCCGGGGGAGATGCAGGACGTTCTGGGCGAGTGCATGTGCAGGGGCTTGCAGTTGTCCGTGGAATGATCCCCATTGCTTGGGTAGGGTTGTGGAAGGCTCGTTTGCTTAACTCGCGAGGCGAGCAGCTCTGGGGGAGAACGCCTCTGGCTCTGACGCAGGAGCAGGCCATATGAGCTGAGTCCGTAGTTCTCCTCCACGTCTTGAAGTGACGGGCTAGGAAGGAGACCCCAGGAGAGAGGTCGCAGCTGATCCTTCCGCCTCTGCACCAGCAGCCAGGGTGCGACGGATCTATACGGGGGCTTTCCCCGGCCAGTGACGCTCCGAGGGGCCAGCGCCCTGATTCACAGGCAGAGCTCGGAGACCGAGGGGAGGGCTCAGCTGGACTCTGACCAATGTGGATAGAGCCCCCCTCCCCCCCAAAGACCCCACTCACTTCCCACTTTGAAACCGGAAACCATCTCCTGCGAGCCTGTACTACTTGGTGTTTTCTCTCCCTTCCAGGGCTTGTACATTTTCCTGGTCTATGCTGTCTATAACAGTGAGGTAAGGGGCGCGCTCGCGGGACGCGGACCCGCCTGGGGAGCAGTTTGGCAACCAGACTCCCAGCAAAGACCCAAGTTGCTCTCCTGGCCTGGCTCTTTGCTCCCAGGGCAGCTGTGGCTGGTGCCCCCGGGACCCGTTGGGAGGAGGCCGTGGTTCCCGTGGGGCAGCGCCAGCCCTGCCTCATGTCTCTGCTCACCTTCCAGGTGAGGAACGCCATCCAGAGGATGAAGGAGAAGAAGAAAGCGCTCTCCTTCACCGTGAGTGTGAGGCAGGGACGCTGCTCCGGCTCCGCTACGCTCGGGCTGCTTTCAGAGGACGGGGCGGGGCGGGGGGGGCGGGGGGGGGCTCAGAACAGTGGATTGCTGGGAAACCTGGTTTGCGTCCCCCCCAAAACGGCAGCACAGAATCCAGTGGGAGTCCCTCCCTACAGACAGATGATCCGCCCGCCTCTGACAGCCGAGGCCCGATGGGGCGTCCTATGGAGCAGGCTGGTTTCTTCTTCCCACCTGGCCAAACCGTCTTAGCCCTCCACAGTCTCTCTGGGGATTTCAGTCTAAACCAGGGTGGACACAAGGGCCTCTGTGAGCCAGATCGAGCGGGTGGATCCGGCCCGCGGAGGCTCTGCTGCTCCCCTGCCTGCAAGCCAATCAGGGCCTGTGGGCGGGGAAGTGCCCAAGGCCTTTCCTGCTCTGCCCCCGCCCTGCAAGGAGCCTGCGGTGCTTCAAAGTGCCACGTGCTCCTCATAGGGTGGAAGGAGGCTTCCCGCGCCCTGATTGGCCTGGGGGTGGGGGAGCGTGCCAAGCCTCTTCCAGGGCATGGGTGCCTAGTGGGAAGGGGGGGCAAAGGGTCTCCCCTACCGCCAGACCAATCATGGTCTGGGGGTGGGGTAGCCCCGCCCCCTTTCTGTTTAGGCCCCACCCCTTCCGGGTAGCCTGGGGCTACTTCAAAAAATTTTTAAGTGGCTTCCGGGCAAAAATTATTGCCCACCCCTGGTCTAAACACCCGCAGACTCCAAAGAAAGGCCCAGACGCGGAAACGTCCCGTCCTGCCCCCGCTCTGGATTGGGCTGTGTCGGGGGTGGGGGAGAGGAGCTATTTCTCATCCACACACCCGAGCAGCGTGGGGGGTGGGACGGATTCCAGGGCCGGGCAAAAGGCCTCTCCCCGTGTTCTGGTCTACATGAGACTTTTGTCTTTAAAACCCAGGGCGCTCCCGTACCCCAGCCCCCTTGAATCCAGGTTTGGAGCCAAATCTTCGCTCCGTGAGACGCGTGGGTTCTCGCTGAGGCCCCGGGCAGGCGTGGGAGGATGAAACGTGGCCCTGGGACTGTCTTGTGAATGGACCTGGCATCTGAGGATCATGGAGTCGGGGGACACCCTTGTCCTGAACAGCCCCAGGGACGGGGGAGAACATGTCCCGGGTCTGTGGTTGGAGCAGTTGCCTCCGACCGGCCGGGAGCATCCACACGGGCTGGGGAGGAGCCTTGTTGGCAAGGCAGCGATCGATCGTTAAGGAAACAGTGGTCAGAGACGTGTCACGTGCAGCCCGGCATCCAAGCCCGTTGACGGCTGCTGTGCCGCAGAGCCCTGAGGGTTGTGTCATTGCAGAACTGCTCCCATCCAATCAACTACCTGTCAAGCCCAAGGAATACTGCGTCCTGGCCGAGTGGGAAGCGGGGTCCCTCCGCGCCAGACAGCGCCGGGCCCAGCCGGGGGCAGAAAGACCCCCCGCCGCCCGTTCTGGGACCTGCGCTTTGTGTTCAGGTTGCCACTTGGCGCGAGTGGGATCCGTCCCTCGAGGGTCCGTGGGTCACTCACGCCTTCGAGGGGAGCGGATGGGGGGTTCCTCCGTCAGTAAGACACGGCACCAGGAGTGACCAGAGCCCTTGTGCCAGCAAGGAAGAAAACGGTTTTCGGGCTCTCCATCCCCACACCCAGTGCTTTTTTTGGTAAGAAAAGAGGTGCCGGTACTTTGGGGCAAACTTGTTGAGCAAAGCCAAAAAAAAAAAAAAATGCTGGGGGTCAAAATGCTGTCGTGGTCCCTTTAAGAGCCAGAAAAAAAACACCGTGCATCCTGATCAGGCTTCCATCAGGAGCCTAGCCGCCCCAGGAAAACAGGTGCCGGTACGCACGGGAGAAATCTCATTCCTTTTCTGTGGGCTGAGAAAATAGGTGATGGTATGCTGCTCTGGGCCCTACTGCCACTGCCTGCACCTAAGGGTGCACCTGCAAGTTGGTGCCCAGGGCCTCTGTGCTGCCTGCCGGCCCCTGCAGCTGGCCTGGAATAGCACGGCCTTCCCTGCAGGCGGAGCAGCACTTTAACACTGATTTACATGGGGTGGGGTGCGGGAGGAGCAGGAAATTGGTGTCAAACCACAGAAAGAAACGTTCACACGCGCCAGCCGATTGGCAGCCCTGAAAACCAACTGCAGTTCTTCAGACAGCCCGTCAGGCCCTTGGGGGAGCAAACGCGAGGGCCTGCTGAAAGAAGGCACATTTCTGTTCTGCACATTCACTGTCTCACTTCACACTTTAGGAAACTTTGGTGCCAAAATTCCCATGGGGATTTCATCAATGATGTCGCCAGAGAGACCGGTATGTAGTACCTTGAGTTACTGTCCCATTTCACGGGCAGACTAGCTACATCGAGGGGCGTGCTGTCCAGTGGTTAGCGCAAAGGGCGAGGACTCAGGATTCTTGGGGTCTGTTTCTAGCTCTGTCATAGACATCTTGTCATATCCTGGGTAAATCACGGAATTGTCTATGGGGGGAGTTGTGAAGGTTCCTTGGTATGGGCAGCACTGAATGGAGGCGCCTCCTCCGAAGCATTGATTGGGTTGGGCAGCTGCAGGAATTGACCCCAGTAAGGAAGGACGTGTTTGATGCCAGGTCTACACAAGGGGGCAATGTTGAACCAAGGTGCCCAACTCCAGCTACGTGAATAGTGTAGCTGGAGTCAACGTATCTTAGTCTGAGTTACTGTAGCATCTCCACTGCGGAGCGTTGATGGGAGAAACTCTCCCTTTACTCTTCTCGACCTCATGGAGTTGACAGGAGCGCGATCAGCACTCGATTTAGTGGGTCTTCTCTAGACCCACTAAATCGATCCCCGGGAGATTGATCCCTACAGCGTAGATCTCCCGGTAAGTAGGGTTGTCAGGTGTCTGGTTTTTGCCTGGACAGTTCGGTATTCGGTTACCCCATCCAGTAAAAAAACCCAGAAAATACGGGACATGTGAAATGTCCGGGATTTCCTGTTTCCCTTGGACGGAAGCCTGTCAGGGACAATGTTCCCCTGCAGTGTCTGGCCGGGGTGGGGGAGTGAGGAGTGCGGGAAGCCCTGTGGGGACTATTTTCCCCTGCTGCGTCAGGCAGGGGAGTGAGGTGCGTGGGGCCATTTAAAGGCACAGCACCCTTTTTTTTTTTTTGCTTAACAATTTTGGTCTCCCCCCCCCTTTTTTTTCGCAACAGAATTTTTTCCCAGTGTGGTTTTTTTTTGAGGGGGGAAGGGTGTTTGGTATTTGGCAACCCTACCGGTAAGTGCAAACGAGACCTAAAGGCGGCTAAACAACCGGCCTATGGAGGATGATGCAACAGGGGTGGCAAACAATAATGGGGTGAAATTACGATCGGTAAAGGCAGCCTATTAGACTGAAGAGTTTTTTGCAAAGGAAGTTGGCCAAAGCCAAGGGAAAGGGGTGGGAAGCCCATGGCTCAGGGCGCCCGGACTAGGCTGGACAAAAGGCCCTGCAGACGTCCAGCCTGGACCAGTCACACCAAACAGCCTGATAGCGACATGTCAATGGCCCCCAGCCCCGCCCCGGGAGGGCCCTTTGGGAGAGGGTGAGCTGGACTCAGGCTGGGGGGGTCTCCCTCCCTCCATCGCCCTGCGCCCTGGTGCTCTGCCAGCTCCGCCCCCAGCGTCCTGGCTTTGCTCAGGGGCAATCGGGGAGGTGTCAGAGGGCTGTGATCCATCCCTGCCCTTGTGGGAAAGAGACTTTTATGTGGGGCTCAGGGGTGTCCAACCGGCTCCTGGCTACGAAGGGAGCTCATATGACTCCTGGTCCGCCGAGGGGAGGGAGAGGCGCAGCGGGCCTTGGCCCACGAGGGGCGGAGGAGCCTCTCGCCCCCTGGCGATGCCTAGTTTGTGGTCTCTCTTCTCCATTCCGTATCCGATGGGAATCCGCTCCCAGGCCTGTTTATAACCAGACCAACAAGGAGTCCGCTGGCACCTCAAAGGTGTCCACGTTTATTTGGGCATCGGCTTTCATGGGCGGCCCCCCCGTGTCGGACGAATCCGGCGTCCCCGCTGTGCCCAAGTAAACGTGTTCGTGTTTCCAGTGCCACTGGACTCTTCGTTGCTTTTGCTGAACCAGCCTCACCCGACTACCCCTCGGAGACTTGCCACACGGGTACCCAGAGGAGCACGAATGGACGTGAGCGGTGCCAAGTGTGACAGCGCAGTCGGGGTTCCCCTGGTCCTGCACACCTGTAGCAGCGAGAACAGACTCCGCCAGCCAGTAGAACAGAAGGGGGTTATTGCTTCTCCGGGATACAGCCCAGCCTAGACGTGATGTGCTTACCAGAGTCAAGGCCAGGGTGCCTCAGACCCCTAAGGTTAGGGGGATCCATCGCCTCCCCCCCCAGACCCTCAGTCCTCAGCTTAGGTTGTTCCCTTCATGTTTTCCAGCCAGCAGCTGCCCCTTCCCCAACACCTGGTGTCCGTCTCCGCCTCCCTCCCTTTGTCTCTCCCCCTGGGAAGAGCTTTTCTAACTGCCCGGGCTGGACCTAGGGGTCTGGGCCAATCCACATGTGGGGGAGTCAGTGGGAATCACACTCACAGCGCAGGGGACCCCGGGTTACAGAGCAGACAGCCCCCCCACTACGCCACACCAAGGCAGGAGGGAGGTCAGGGTCGAAAATGGAAGCAAGCTAGAAAAGGGCTTGCTGTGTGTCTGTACCAGGGCTCACCAACCAGTCGATCGGGATCTACCGGTAGATCTTGGAGCGTCTGGCAGGTGATCCTGATTGGTTTGGCTGGGAGGCTAGCAAGCTCTGGCACTGCAGCTGCCCTCCTACCACTGCCCAGCTGCCCCGGCCCAGAGCCTCAGAGCTGCCCTTGGGAGCTTCCTGCTTGCTGTGCAGAGTGGGGGAGACAGAGGCAGGGGGGCACTGATGTCTCTCTGTCCCTCTCTCTGTGAAGATGGGATACAGGAGTGAGGAGGGCGGGGCCTCAGCAAAGGGGCGGAGCAGGGCTACTTGGGTTTGAGGTAGATCCTGGACTGACTTAAATTCAAAGACAGATCTTGTGCTTTAAAAGGTTGGAGACCCCTGGTCTGTCCCCACGTCCCAGTCTCTGCAAACGGTGCATTGTGCAGCCAACCCATTTCACTCTCCCGGCAGCAACGAATCTTCTGCAAAGTTCAACGAGGCGCGCTGCAAAGAGGAGCGTCATTTGCATGTGCCCACGCGGCCACCACTTCCATCCCCACCACTGAAATGATCATGCAGTGCACCGGGTACTTGACACAGGAAAAAGACGCTGTAGTTCTCTCAGGGGGAAAAACCCCCTAATGCTACTTCCATGTGAGGAATTTACCAAAGGATCTAGACACACACCAAAAATTCCCTCTTTCTCTGTCTCCTGTGCTGCTTTTGAAATGCTGCCTTCTTTATGTGGCAGAAAACATTCTGTTCTATTTCAAGGCAACTTAGCAAAATTGGCGCTCGTGGTTTATTTTTGTTTAATGTTGCTATTCTTCCTGGTGATAAATGCCTGGCCGGTTTTCCAATAGGTGCTTTTGCAACCCAGGCAGGTGCTGGCTCTGTAAATTCGAACCATCGCTAAGCTACTTGGCACAAAATATGAGACATGGGCTAAAGAGATTAACCAGGAGGCTTGAGTTTTCTAATGCACCGGGCATTAACGGAGGAGCCTGTAGATTTCCTAAATGCCAAGGCCACACCACTTCCTCGTTGGCAAAGATCAAATTAGCTTGATTCCAGGCTGAGGTCACCCAGAGCTGCTTCTTGCATTTGTTACTTAAATATTTGTATGGAAAGTGCTTTATTTTCTCCTCTGAACAATACACGTTCAACAACAATCAAAATGCGAAATTCACTGGGACCCAAGGAGCCAGTGGGGGAGGAAGCGCCGTGGAGCCAGTTGGTTATTTTTTTTTAAATATTCCTTTGTCTTTGCAAGTGAATTTTCGCCACTCTTCCCCTGTTCTCTCTTGGGGAGCGTTTCGGCTCCACCCGCGAATGCTCAGAAACCGGGAATTTTGAAGCTGATTTCTTTGCAATAAGCAAAGTGCGAATGTGAGGTTTGTGCAGCCTGTGCCGAGGCCTCGCTAGCGCCTGCGGTGCAGGTGAGTTACATAAGTCACTGGTATTGTTTCAGCTCCCTGCCTGAATCCCTTATGTAAGTGAGAGCGTGAATTCAGAGTGCTAGATTTGAGTGCAGCCTCCTCCTGATTAAGGAGTCATTTTTTCCGTAAACCTGAAAACACTGAAAAGGTTAAACGCTGGGCTGAGAGAGGCTGCGAAGCCCCGAGGGCGTTTCACGGCATTTTGCCGACAGCTTATTGGCAATATTTTAGCTAGAAGTTCAGAGCTGGGGATTTGCCTCCCCCCCCCCAGCATTAATGCTAGATTTGAGTGCAGCCTCCTCCTGATTAAGGAGTCATTTTTTCCGTAAACCTGAAAACACTGAAAAGGTTAAACGCTGGGCTGAGAGAGGCTGCGAAGCCCCGAGGGCGTTTCACGGCATTTTGCCGACAGCTTATTGGCAATATTTTAGCTAGAAGTTCAGAGCTGGGGATTTGCCTCCCCCCCCCCAGCATTAAACGCTGCTCTGTGGCTGAAGGGGGCTGCCTGCAGAGGTCCCTGCTTGAAGGAGAATGGATGGTCTGAGGCAGGAAGAACAGGAGAACCAGCTGTTCTTCAAGAGGGACCGGGCTGGCCTCCTGTCTCGTTGTCGAGCTATTTGAAGGGGAATGCTCCCCGCCTCTCCGCTCTGCCCTCCCTCTGCAGCCGGGGCGCTCTTCGCATGCCCGTGTGCTGGGGGGTGCCCATGAGATTCCTGCTCTGAGAGCTGGCGGAGGCGGGGGGGGATTCCGGCCCCTGTGCTTAGCGCTTTGACGAGGACAGGCCCCTCCCTGGCGTCCTGTCTCGTTGTCGAGCTATTTGAAGGGGAATGCTCCCCGCCTCTCCGCTCTGCCCTCCCTCTGCAGCCGGGGCGCTCTTCGCATGCCCGTGTGCTGGGGGGTGCCCATGAGATTCCTGCTCTGAGAGCTGGCGGAGGCGGGGGGGGATTCCGGCCCCTGTGCTTAGCGCTTTGACGAGGACAGGCCCCTCCCTGGCGGCACAAGTTGCGGTCCAGGCGCGACAGGTGGATAAATGCGACTTCAGACTCGACCCTACAAACAGGCCTCGCGTCTGCACAGAGCCCCCCGGGAAATGGGCGGCAGGGGAGGGATCCCGTGGGGATTCCCTGTCGTGTTCCCTCCCTCTGGGGCATCTGGCATCGGCCACTGTCGGCCTTGGGTCTGAGCCAGGCTCGCCGTCGCTATGGGCAGGAGGATGGGCCGGCGCTGTGGCTCTAGTGCTGCTCACAGCCATGGCCGCTGGGTGAAGGTAGGGCTGGGGGAGGCAAGCTCCCTGCCCCGCCCCTTTTGCCCATGCCCCACCCCCCACTGGTGTTAAGCCCCCCCAGCATCACAGGGAGGCGGGGCGGCATCTGGGTGGGGCCAGGCTGGCGGTTTGGGAAGGCAACGCCCTCCCCCGCCTAGCGGACCCGATCCTGGGCGTTTTCCTTGACGGCGCGTGGAGGCGGGTGACAGAAATCCCGGCCCTGACGGTCAGAGCGCAGAGCCTGGGAACAAGCCGGCTGCTCCCCGGGGCTCCCCTCCCCGCCCAGGCGCCAAAGCAAACGAACCTGAAGCTTGGCCCTGAAAGAAAGCGCGTGGTGCTAAGCCGGCCGGGCCGGGCCTCGGGGCCGGGCCTGTGAGCGCGTGGGGGTGCCGGGAAGCCGGAGTGTTGTGTGGCAGTGGGTGGAGAGGAGGCCCGGGGGCCTGGCTAGTCCCAAGGTCGGCCCTGGGGGGCCCCATGTGCCGCCCAGTGCGGGGAGAGCTGGCAAAGCCAGCCCGGGCCCCTCAGGAGCCAGGCTTGGATTGTCCTCGCACTGGGCCCAGTATCTCACGCCTCACACCCGCCCCCTACGAACACGGGTGGGCTCGGGGGGCACCCGCGGGTGAGTTCACCAGAGCTCGTGAACACGAGAACAGGGCTCTTCCCTCCCTGCAAAGCAGCAGAGCTGCCAGGAGCGATGGCAAAGCCCCTCTCAGCCGCATCGGTGGCGGGCTGGCTTGGGGGGTGCGGCTGTGGGCAGAGGTGGGTTCCTCGGGGCTCGGAAATTCCCTCCCTGCTCACGTCTCGGCTAACGCGCGTTCTCCTCTCTTCCAGGCGGTGGAGCTGACCGCGTTCAAGTCCTCAGGTAACTTCTCCCTCCCTCGGCTCTTCTCTTGCCCTGCGTTAAGGACCCCGGGGCCCTGGCTGCCTCTGCGCTGAGGGGTGCTGGTGGCCGAAGGGGGGAGCCGGGCTCGGGCACGTTTCCCTCCTTCCGGTTTGAATCCCAGCGTGCGGGGCCTCGGCACCGTTGGCTCTGGGCCGGGGGTTCTGGATGTTGTTCTTTGCATTCTGTTGCCCGCGCGTCAGACACTGGAAAGCTGCTCAGAACGGCCCAGCAGAGACCCCGCGTGGACCCCAAGTTTGCCCTGCTGCGGAGCAAATCAGGCCTGGCAGAATGCCTGGGGGGGCTGAGCACTGCGTGGCCCCGTCTCCGGGCCGGCGGCACCGTTGGCTCTGGGCCGGGGGTTCTGGATGTTGTTCTTTGCATTCTGTTGCCCGCGCGTCAGACACTGGAAAGCTGCTCAGAACGGCCCAGCAGAGACCCCGCGTGGACCCCAAGTTTGCCCTGCTGCGGAGCAAATCAGGCCTGGCAGAATGCCTGGGGGGGCTGAGCACTGCGTGGCCCCGTCTCCGGGCCGGCCCACGCGTTGGCTCTGGGCCGGGGGTTCTGGATGTTGTTCTTTGCATTCTGTTGCCCGCGCGTCAGACACTGGAAAGCTGCTCAGAACGGCCCAGCAGAGACCCCGCGTGGACCCCAAGTTTGCCCTGCTGCGGAGCAAATCAGGCCTGGCAGAATGCCTGGGGGGGCTGAGCACTGCGTGGCCCCGTCTCCGGGCCGGCCCACGTTTGCCCGGCTCTCAGCCAGGAGAATGCCGTGCCACGCTGGCCCAGCACGTACCCAGGCAGTGACCCCATGCCTCCTGCCCCTGCCCCCCTGTGTGCCGCAGCCCCCACCCCGTGAGCCGTGCACCCCGAGTCACAGCTCCCCCACGGAGACCCTCAGGCACCCAGCCGCTCTTGCTTTCCCCGCTACCCGCTCTGTGCTGCGTGCACCCGCCCCGGTGGCACCCCCCTGCCGGTCGCTGCGTCGTGCACGGGGGGACAGATCTGTTGCAATGCGGCCGGCCAGGCCTGAGAGAGCCCCACCCCACCCAGGCACCCAACCCCTGCGGGGCCGCTCTGCGAATCGCCGTGTGTCTGCGCCCGGTGCTGGGGGGTGGGCGCTGGGCCAGGCAGGGTGCAGCAGCAACGGCTCTGGGCAGAGTCCGGCTGGCGCCGGGAACCCTAAAGCAGCCGCCATGGCACAAACACCACCCAGCTGCCTGAGCCGCGGCTGCCCTGGGGAAGAAAGTGCTGCTCCCGGCAGTGAACCCGGGAATGCTGATTTGCAGACGTTAGTGCCACGGCCGAATGCCATTCTCCTCCGGGGAGGGGGAGCGTGGTCCCTACACACCCCACGAGAAATCGGCAGAATTAAAAACGTGCCCCCCCCCTTCGCTTTGCCCCCTCGCTCTGGGGAGCAGGGAAGGAAAGCTGGGGGGGGTCTTACAGGTACCTGGCTCCTCCTCCCTCCTCTGCCGCGGACTTGCTGGGTCTGTCTCCCCTGCCTCTGCTTCCCCGTCTGTGGATTCGCGCTGCCCTCCCCACAGGCGTGTCGGAAGGAGAAACGCGGTGAAGATGGCGGCTCTCCTAGTGGGGGCCCACCTGGGGGGGCGAATCCTTCCTTACGGCTTTAGCAGGGCTCCCGAAAGAGCTGGGGACGTCCAGGGAGGGCAGGCCCATCAGGGCTGTGAGCCAGGCTGGGCAGGGATGGGTCCCTGCCTGTTTGCCAGGGCCTGGGAATGGGCTCGCTGGGTGATTCCGTTCTCACTCCCAGCACTGGGCTGTATGGACCTGGGGGCTGACCCCGCCTGGGCTCACGCTCTCCCCTCTCGGAGCTCGGCTCCTGCCGTTTGTCCCCCGCGCTGCAGCTCCGGCTCCCCCAGGCCCGCGCGCCGCCAGGGGCGAATTTGCAGGAGTCTCTGGGCACGAGCAAAGGCATCTGCTCAAGGTCACGGCTCGGCGAGGAGACCGCTGGGCGCGGCACGGGGGAGCCCGCTGCTGGACAGCTGTGGCGGGCAGGTGCCCTGCGTAGAATTCCCACTGCCGGGCGGTTCCCAGGGAGTCCGAAATGAGGCAGGGGACTCGGCTCTCCCAGCCAGGCGAAGGTCGGGGCCTCTGGCCGGGCTCTGGGCAATGCAGCCGCTCGCTGCCTCTCGGTGCCACCGCCAGTCGGGAGCGGTGAGCGGGAACGTTACCTGCCGGGGCGAAGGTCCCGCCACGGGGCTGCCGAGAGCCCCCTGTCGAGCTCAGGGTGGCCCAAGAGCCAGGGAGGCGGCGAAGCTCTGTGCGCCCCGGCCAGATCCGCCCGGGCTAAGCCAAAGGGCTCTGAGGACAGTCTCTGTCCCCAGGGAGCGGACGAGGGGGACAGAAAAGATGCCCGGGGGTTCTAGTCCAGACTCGGCAGGTGACTGACCCTGTGACCCTCATTCTCTCGGCGTGTGGGCAATGACACTTCCTCTCCTGGGAACGCCCTGCGAGGGCTTCGGCTGACACACGGACGGCACGAGCATGGGACAGCCCGCCGGCTGGCTCGCCCCCCTGCTCGCCTGCCTGCCTCCCTGCCAGCCACCCCACAAGCAGGGCGGTGAAGGACTAGTTGACTATCTGATAAGCAAATGCTTATCGGACGGCCAACACACTAGCCCAGTTCCTCAACCTTTTCATATAAAGTACAGTACCCCCTTTTTCCAAAAAAAAAATAAGTACCCTCCCCCGTACCTACAGGTTTCAGACACATGCATTTTTTTCTACCGTTGTAATACATTTGTTTAAACAACTTCATCATAGCCAGGCAGGCAATGACATTTTTGGTGTAAAAAGTGCAAAAATAACAAAGCGCGTTAAAACTGAAAACTAAAATTCCGTTTTCTCCAAACGTCAGTTGTGTTGAGGAACCCCCAGACTCCTCGAGTGCCCCTCGGGGTACTGTCCACTGGGTGAGAAACACCGGACTAGTCGCTCCCCCTCCCCTTGCTGCCTTTATCAGAAAGAGGCAGCAAGGTGGGGAAAGAGGACGGGGCGCTTCAGAGCGGCAGTGCCATGTGGAGCTGGGGACCCCCGGGCTCCATGTAGCGCTGCCACTTTGAAACTCCATGGGGAGCACGAGACCAGCGAGTCCCCCATTGGCTCCATGCTCCCGGCAGCACGTCCACCTTTGCAGTGTAGCAACAGCCCTGGGCGGAGGTGGAGGCGCCTTTATTGACTAATCGAATAGCCGATGCAAATCGCATCGACTATTTGATTAGCCCATTGATCTAAATGCAACATCCTTTCCCCCCAGCCAGCCCACCAGCCAGATCTTTTGTCAGCAGTCAATTCATCTTATTTATACTCCTGTCTGTGGTGTTCTATTCTCCTGTGTGTGTTGTTCTATACCAACCTGTTGAGTAAGTACCAGGAGGATAGCAATGTACTCAGGCTCCAATCAGTATGTACCCTAATTAATTTCTTCTCCAAAACCCACTGTTTGTGACTATGGGCCCAGACATGAAGTTTTTGCACAAGGTCAGACCTTGGTCCCACAAGCAGAGCTTGAGTTATAAGGCTTTGCCTGTAAAATCCACTGTATGCAGAGTGGGTGAATATTCTTCTCTCCTCCCCAGCCAGCCAGCCCACCTGCCCACCACCCAGCCAGCCTGCCAGCCCTCCACCCAGCCCCCCCTGCCCAGGAGAGGCGACCGATAGGAAGTCCATTGCAGACAGCACACGTGTTGGGCTGGAGAGGGAGGGGTTAGGACCTGGGGGCTTCCTGGCAAGCCCTTGGCGATTGCCAAGTGCATTTCCCCAAAGGGCCAGTCTCTTGGGAAGCCGGAGGAGGCCCCGGTCTGGTCCTGCTGCCGCGAGGCTGCAGCAGACACCGGAGCCGCCCGTGGCCTCAGGCAGCGCGCTGGGTTGGCTGCCGTGGACCCAGAGAGGCGCAGAGTGCGAGCGCTTTGGCTTTGGACTGGTGGTTCATTAGTAACCTGCCTGCCTGGGGTGCCTGGTGCTGCCTTCCAGGAGCAGGCTCCTAGAGCAGTCGACACACCCGGGGAGGTCAGGCTCACGCGGCCCCAGGGAGGGGAGCCAGGGCTGTTACCCCGTCTGCCCGCTGGGCGAATGCACGGAGAGGTCTCTGAGTTTCCCAGGCCGGAGGGGGCCAGTGTGGGCACAGTCTGACCTGCTGTGTGCCCCACCCTGCCTCGTGCGGATAGCAGGGGCCTGTGCCGGAGAACATGCCACACTTTGGGGAGCGGTTCCAATGGGTAATTGCCCCCAGCAGCTAAGGGACTTGCCCAAGGTTACCCAAACCGTTAGTGGCAGAGCTGAGACGAGGTGCTGGCCCCTAGCCCCAGGCTGCTCCTCGAGTGCTGACGCTCCTTCCCACCCATGGCCAACGCCCGGAGCCGGCCAGGTGTTTCCGCTCCGCACTTCAGTGGGAAGCAGGGGGCTGGGCCGGAGGCCAGGCTGTGAGTCTTGCTTACCTGAGCCTGATCCGTACCGTGTGCCGCGGCGTCCTGTTCTGTTCCGCGCGGGGGGGAATGCCTACCCCCAGCGCCTGCACCAGCCCCACACTGCACACCTCCGGTGGCTCAGATGTGTCTGGGGACTTCTGAAGCCAGTCGCGGCACAGGAGGCAGCTTAGGGCTGCCTCTGTCATTGAGGGAGACACAATGTATCGGAGTAAAATAAATATTTCCTTTCCCCTTGCAATAGTGAGCGAACACACAAGCCTCTGCGCAAGGTACTTTGTGTCCTAAGATTATTTGTGTCCCTTTCAGTTCTCAAATTGCCCTGATGACAGTTTCTCCTGGAAGATATTGTCCCTTGGGGATTGTTTTGTGCCGGGCTGTTTGTATTCCTCTAAAGAAGGTTAAAAGGGGAAACCGACAGAGCCTATGGTAATGAAAAGCACAGAGCCTTCGGCAAGGCCCCTCCGGGAACATCAGCTCCGTTTTAATGGGTTTTATGGCGTCTTTGCCTAGTTCCTCTGCGAACGCCTAAGACTAAATTCAGGATATTTGCACCTATCGCAGGCAGTACTGGGATCGGGTGTGTGAAAATGCCTCGATGGGTGGATGGGTGGGTTTTATTTTTGCCTTGTTAACCATGATGAAGCTTTTCTGGGCTGAGTGGTGGAAGCAGGGCCGACTTACCCATTAGGCACAGTAAGCACAGTGCCGAGGGCCCACGATACTTTTAGGGGCCCACGAAAATGTTTTAATTTCTTTTAAAACCAGAAGGAAAAAAATGACCTTTTAGGGTCGAAGAAAATGTTTTAATTTTTTTCTCACGTCAGAAAAAATGAAACTTTTAGGGTCCATGAAAATCTATTGCATTTTGCCTAAAACAGAAAAAAAATGTTGAAGTATTTAAAGTTATATCAAAAATAATTTTAATATTTTTTTTTTATGGAGGAAGGGGCCCATGAAGTCAAAAGTGCCTAGGGCCCACGAAAGTCATAATGCGGCCCTGGGTGCACGATTCCCCGGCTGGCTGTAAAAGCTGATCTGGGGCGTACCGTGTATGGACAGGACGCTAGCAGCTGTTGGGCCCTGGCCGGGGGTTTCTCTTTGCGGGGAGGAAGTTGTGTGAGGCACATCGAGTCTTTCTTTGTTTTGAAAGGGTCACCTAGAAATATCACCGGTTCCCCCGTTTCTGGACAGATTGGCAAGGCAGAAGTAATAAAGCCCGGGGCACATCTCATAGTTAACATGAAGTCTATGAGGTGTCAGACGTGAACCTTCAAGCCGCGGTTTTCAAACCCTGGCTCAGACACGGGCAAGCCGCTAGCTGGCCGTAGGCACTTTATTTGCCTGGTCGGCGCCGGTATGGGCCATGGGGCTCCTCTTGGTCATGGACCACCATTCCCGGCCAATGGCAGCTGCAGGGAGTGCTGTTGTAACCCGCATGGCTTCCCACAGCTCCCATTGGCTGCGAACAGTGCTAGCTCCTGCTTGCGGAGGTGCAGGTTTGGGCATCAGCCTCAGCGGAGGGGCCGGATGCAAAGGATTCCGTTGGCTTCGCCGTGATGCGCTTCTCATCTCCGAGGGCCCCGCTGGGTGTTTAGCAGCTTCCTGCTTGTGATGTACTGAAAAAACCTTCGTATTCCTTTGTAATGGGGGGGGGGGCGTTGGGGGGCTGCTACTTGTACTGCAGCACTGCTTTCGCAAATAGCAAAAAAAGAGTTACAGGGTTATTTGGGGGGCATGGTGTTGCCACCTTATTTTAGTGCTGCCTTCCGAGCTGGGCGGCTGGAGATTGGGGGCTGCTGGCTGGGATCCAGTAACTCCCCTGCCCTGCAGGACCGCCCATTTGAGAGACGCTGCTCGCCCCCAGGAAAGCTGCACAGAAGAGGGGGCAAGCCCCCAAAAGCCCAGAGTTTGCAGCCCAAGACGCATTTTTCAGGGCCCTGAGCGAAGGGCCTGCAGCCGCCCAAGGCTCCACGCTGCTGGGCCGGCTCTGACAGCTCCCCCCTCCCGGTCAGCAGAGGCGAACGGCCCACTGGACACAGCGTCCGGGGCTGGCTGACAGCAGAGCGAGTCGAGGCCGAGAGAGCAGGCGGCTGCCCCGAGTCGGCCTCGCTGCTGGTGCATTTCAGCCTAGGCTTGGCCTGGGGCTGGTGACGGCCCACGGGGGAACCATCCTGCTCTGGCCCCAGGGGGTCTATACCAGAGTCCCCCCATCTCTGCCTCCTGCACCAGCGCGACCTCAGGCGTGTCACTGATGCTACTGAGGAGAAGCCAGGAGGCTAAAGCCCGGACGGCTGCTTGCGACCCTCCCGCCCACACGAACGTGTGAACGCCTCTGCTCTGCGCTTTGACGTGTGTGTCTGGCCTAGGACGCGCTACCAAGGGACTTGGCTTTGCTCAGCTCAGGCTCACGCTTTTGTTTTGATCGGGCCTTGGGGGCATTTTCCTGGTTTTAAGATGATAAATGATCAACGTGGCCAGGCAGCTCCTGTTCAGTCTGTTCGAGATGAACCGGGCGGTCCGGCCGCCCCTTTCAATTAGCGATGTTCCATGTAGATTCATGAACTAATTGACTAGACAGTGGGATTTCCATCGCCTCTCCGGTCAGGGCGCCTCCGCCTTTCAGCTGAAGCAAGAGCCCTGCTTGGCTCTCGCGCCAGTTCCAAAGCCCAGTGGGGAGCACGTGGCCAGTGGGGGATCCTGTGCGCCCTGCGGTGCCTGAGCCTTTGAAACGTTCAGGAGTCCCCGCGGGGCTCTTGTCCATTTCAAAAGGAATCCCCACTGGGAGCGCGGGGCCAACGCCCTCCAGGTTTCTTGTACATTTCAAAAGCCGAATCTCAGTGGAACCGGCAGGAGCGGAGACGGTTTCAGTCCCTGCTTGTGCCGTTTCCCGCTGCGCCTCTACCTCCCCTGCCACCCGCGGAGACAGTGCTGGGGGGAACCGGCTTTAAAGCCAGCTCCCCT